GGGGTGGGGGGGTGGGGGGGTGGTGGGATAGCCCTAACTGGAGATCACCTGTCAATAATCCAAGGATGACCAACTAATGAGGAAGCTCAGCGAAAACCCATCACCAGCAATGATTACTGGTTCTCTCATGTTCTCAGTTCTTATTCAAACCTGGCAAAAAGACAAATTAATCAGCTGTGTGACTGGGACCCTCTTCAAGAAAGATAAGCTTATATTTTGAATTTTAAGGATACATATTTAGAATTCTAAAGAGACATTTTGAACTTTCATAGTAAACATGACATGACATGAAACAGACACATTTCAGTATGTAAGCAGCATCTATGTTCTTGGATAAAGGTATCTCTTTACCCCTGTTGTCTTTTGACATTGGTACTGGGACAGGTCCAAGACATAAAGAAAACTTTTGCCTCAGCTCTCTAGGAAGATTCTTTGATGTTTCAGTTATTCTGTGGACTATCAAGAATACCTATAAATCCTTGAAAGGATTAAAAAATAAAGAATTAAACAGGAACAGCACAAAAATAAAAAGTTTTATAAATGAACAGTAGACTGGGCATTTTGACATACTGTAGCTAATGTCTCACACCAAGAGAGAAACCTTTCAATGCAGAAGAATGTAATTATGATTAAGAACGAGGCAACAAAACATCCAGTTATGTAAAATGAGCCTATTACATTGAAAACAAACAGTCTTGTGAATACATCTCTTTTAATCCAATAGAAATATTGCTCTTAATCTTAAATCCCTATTTAATGGTTTTGCACAATATTTAATGCACGTCTTAACTTATCTCTCAAACAAAATTACGATAAAAAAGATCAGTTAAATCATGTAGATATTTCCATACTCATCACAGCCTTCTCTTTTCATTGGTTGATTTTTATATGCATAAACGGTAGGAATGGTGTCAGGATGGAGCTCAAGTTTGGAATGTGTCTGAAAGTAAAATATTTCATATTTCGAACTGTCAGGCTTCATAATCAAGTAAACTTCATAGCAAGGCAAATTTCAATATACTGTACATGTCCTACCTCAAATTATCTAGATTTGAAAACATTCTATTTCTGTTGCAAATAATTTGCTACTGTATTAATTTATATTATAAAACCAACACATACTGTACTAGGCATCACTTTTTTAGATAATTTCTCTAGACTGCCAATTTGAATGAGTGCAATTGAATTGAAATTATGAATGAGTTAAAATGATTTGCTGGCTCCATTGGTGTCTAAGTTGAACACATGATACTGAAATTTCAAGAGGGTGGTGAAGCCATCCAATCCATAATCTGAAAAGTTGAAACTAGAGCTGCAACACAAGCTGACCACACCAGTTTTTCTTAACAGTTGCCTTCAATCTCCACTCAGCACCAAGTTCTGCCATTGCCACAGCACAGAGTAGCTATATCAAATACATTTCTTAAAAATGAAACTCATTTCTAAGAAATGTATTTAAACACTCATAAGCTTTTGGCTTTCGACACATTTAAACAGATATTGATAACTGAGAGTAAAGAGCTTGGTCTTCACAGACAGATACATTTGGTTGTGCAGGACTCACACAATGCTTAATGCATTTGTTCCTGGAATATTTCTGTATGCCAGTAATGTATAGTTTGAAACATTTTTCCTACCATAAGAGTGTAACACCTAAAAGTATTACATTAGGCTCTTTCTCGAGGTTTTTCTATGGTTATATGTTTTACATCCAAAGAAATTTTTCAGACCTCGCCTGGCGTTGCGGCCGATGAGCGCCTGGCTGAAAGGCGCGGCGAGGGGCAGGATGGGAGGAGGAGCCAAAGGGCGAACTGAGGGTTACTAGGCAGCACGGGTTGACCATCTGGTGTGATTACACATTGTTGTGGGCTGTTGGGTTGTCATATAAATAGTTATCCCCGGTTTACACACTTTTATACCTGTACCCACTTAAGCACCCTATACCAATGTACCTGTACCTCAAGTGACACTAGTGTGTTACAGATGAATTACACTGTGATAGCTATTGTGCCGCCAATAAAGGGCGGTTTCCATTGTGAAAAGAACCTGAATTTCCATCTGCGTCTTCGCCGACACCCCCTTGCTGTAATATTGTACTACTCAAACAAATAGGTATATCTATTTAGTTAAACTTATATTTCCCTCCTTTTCATTAAATAAATAACTATTCGGTGATTTATGTATAGCACAAAATTATATTTCTTATAAAATTTTAGTTGAGCGTGAAGTAGAAACGAGACAGATCTACTGAAGTCATCACATTAATGCAAGGAAAGTTTCGACAAAAATAGAAAAAATCGCTGTATTGTAGCGATCTGAAGCCCCCGGTTATAATAATAATAATAAACTTTATTTTATATAGCGCCTTTAAAGGTGGCTTCTCAAAGCGCTTTACAGGATGACAATAACAATAAATAAGAAGATTTCACAAGATAAGACACAATTACAATTACAACAATGACAATAGAGGAGACAGTGGAAGTGGTACTAAGAAGAGCAGAGGGGTGAAGAATGGAACCAGTTAAGTAAAGGCTTTTCTGAAGAAGAAGGTTTTGAGTCTGGATTTGAAGGAGTTTAGAGAAGGTGACTCTCGGATATCCTTGGGCAAAGAGTTCCAGAGCTTGGGGGCATGGCAGGAGAAGGCCCTGTTGCCCATACAATGTAGACGGGCTTGGGGGACAGTAAGGAGGGCAGAATTTGAAGAGCGGAGGTTGTGAGGTGGGGGGTAGGGCGATAAAAGTTCAGACAGGTATTGAGGTGCCAAGCCATGTAAAGCCTTATAGGTGAGCATGAGGATTTTAAAGTCTACGTGGAATTTGACCGGAAGCCAGTGCAAGGACTCCAGGATTGGAGTAATGTGAACACTTGCACTAGACCTGGTCAGGATTCTGGCTGCTGAATTTTGGAAATACTGCAGTTTGTTCAGAGTAGATTTAGATACCCCAGGGAGTAGAGCATTGCAGTAGTAAATTCGAGAGAATACAAATATGTTGTTCAGCTTTTCAGCCACAGTTAATGATAGCATAGGGCATAGTCTTCCGATATTTCTAAGGTGAAAAAAAGATGTTTTGACAGTATGCTGTACATGTGGGTCGAATGTTAAGCCAGAATCGAATATAACCCCAAGGTTTTTCAATTTTGATTGAAGCTCAAATACAGAGCCATCTACAGATAGGGTTACAGGGCTGGCTTTACGAAGTTGATGGGGGGTACCAATAAGCATGACTTCAGTCTTGTCACAGTTAAAGGAAAGTTTTGAGTCATCCAATTTTTTATGTCAGAGATGCAATTAGATAGAATAGAGACAGCCACATCAGTGTCGGGTTTGGTATGGATTTATATTTGAGTATCGTCAGCGTAAAAATTAAAGCTGAGGCCATGTGATCTTAAAAGCTGACCAAGTGGGAACACATAAATGCTGAAGAGCTGAAGAGCATGAGCCCTGGGGGACACCAGACTTGACAAGACCAATTTCAGACCTGCACCCATTGAGAGAGACAAAGTGACAGCGATCAGTGAGGTAAGATTTAAACCATTTGAGGGCAGTGTCAGAGACTCCAAACACAGTCTCGAGACAAGAAAGTAAGATGTTATGGTCAACAGTGTCAAAGGCAGCACTGAGATCAAGAAGGATGAGTATGGAAAGAGAACCAGAATCAGAAGCTATTAGGAGATCGTTGGTGACTTTGACCAGGGTACCATGAAACTGGTAGACTGATAAGACTGTAGCCATGACCTCTTCCTCTACCCCAGTCTGTAATTGCTAATGTCTGAGTTAGGCAGGGATATGCCATTGTATCTTATTTCTTTTTCTTTTTTTTAATTAAAAAAATCGTTTGCCCAGCATACAATTGGCCGTCGCCAAAACGGTTTCTATTTGCAGAAAAATGAAATAAAATCAGTTTCATGGTACCGTTTCTGGGTATTTCTGGATACTAGAAAAACAAGCTGACTAGGCAGCATATTGTATTCAATATGTCATATGTCAAATATGTCAATGCAAAAAACCTTAGGCATTACCCTCAGAAGAATCGGACATATTATTTTAAGTGCCCAAGTTGACTGAATCTCATACTATGAGTCATAGGTCGTGAGATATATGCTTTGAATTGCAGTTAAGGCAACACGTGTTTGCATTAATCAATAACTTGTTTATGCAGAAAATTAGTACTTGTCTGTGTATATTGTAACGCAACGAGAGCTCAGGCGGGCGCCCATGCCGCATTAGGTCGGCCCCATCCCGACTGAGGCTCGAACCCGGGACTCCCGCGTCTCTCTGCAGCGACCCAGCCCCGTGAGCTAAAGGGGGATCTCTCTACAACCCAGTAGCTGTAGTCCTGCTCTGGTACACCGGCTCTTACACAGTGCCTGTCGGCCGTAAGCGTTACAATATATTCACTCCAGTAAGTGAAAACATGTTCTTCCAAGCTTCATATTACATTTAGGAATAGTGGAAGTCACCTTATTGTTTTTGTACTTCCAAAACAGTACACCGCATTTCCTAAATTGATTTACTAATTTAAATAAATTTTCTCCCCACGAATTTAATTTTGACTTCATTTAACTGTATTTATTTATATTATCCGACAAAGGATACACGTCTGGAGCGAAACAACTACAAGAAATCACTTAATGCATCCCCAACGTTTCTTTGAGAGGCAGTTTACAACTCACTTAACAGCATATTCCCGATAGAGCAGTTACTGATAGCTACGCCCAGTTGCTTTCAAAGTTTTGATCTGACGTAATTCAGATTCCAGTGAAAATCAATCATTTTCAGAAGCAGCTCGTTTACACGGTAAAGCCCGGCAAAAATTGAAGAATGGTATTTTTACTGCATGATTGGTGTGTTTAATGCAATTATCTCCATACATAATTCGATTATGCAAAGGAAACAATGTGACACTGAGACTCTTGTTAAAGCTGTGCGCGGAAAGAGGTTCAGTATGTGTAGACACTCCCACTGATAGTTGTTGTACAACATGACAAAGTCACATGATTCGGGAGTTCGTAGGTTCACATAACTAGTTTTTTTAGTTCATGGTTATCGATCTCTTACGGTAATGTGAGCATAGGGAAAACTTTAACTGTCGTCTAAAAGTGGCTACCGCTTGTGCTTGTTTGTGGGTTGCATTTGCCTCTCGTCTCATACCGTTATAGGATCGTTCTGTAGTGTAAGTTGTTGCCAACAACAGAAATGCTTCTAGAGTGGATGACAGCATTGATAGCAGGCTTAGTTGCCTTTCACTTCATCCAAAAGCATACATTTCCGTATTTTTGGAAAGACTTTTTTTATTTAACGAAGGTCGCGAGGTGCGGTGTAATCCTAGAGTTATACAAGAAGACATCGAAAGTCTTCACTGTGATGGACAAGTTCATGCAACAAGCCGAGAAGATCCCCAACAAGCCGTTTATCATCTACGAAGGAGACGTTTACACGTACAAATATGTGAATTCAAGAAGCAACAAAGTGGCTCAAGTATTCAAGACTCTGGGAATCGTGAAGAAGGGAGATACCGTAGCCCTTTTAATGAACAATGAGCCCGATTTTATCTCTGTGTGGTTCGGATTCTGCAAACTGGGATGTGCCGTGGCTTTTCTGAACACCAACTTAAAATCTAAATCGCTTCTGCATTGTTTCATCAGCTGTGGAGCTAAGGTTCTCGTTGTTGGGGCAGGTAAAAAATACATTGTTTTTACAGTACCGTAGGAAGTATCACAGTTCTTCATCAGTACATAATGCTCTACTTTTTTTTTATTTGCATTAATGAAAGCCTATTTGGATTTATTCTTAAATGTATTGTGCAATATCTTTTTATAAACGCAGCATAACGTGCTCGATGATTAAAAGTAAAAGATACTGGTCATTTTCACAGTAAATGTCTTAAATGTAGTAAAATTTTTGTTCCACCCACATGCGTCTTACACATGCTTTCTTAGTGCCCTGTTATCTTAAAGGTACAGTACGAGGCTAAGAGTGACAGACGAATAACAACGACACAATAGCATATAACACCTCTTTGCGTACCTCGTTTAATAAATCGACCTGGGCTTGTTTTAGTTTTATTTGTGCTATATTGTTTTACATATAGCTGACATTGAATAGTTTCAGCGTAAATATGACTAAACTCTGTCAAAGCAGTAGTTCGAGCAATTGTAATTTACCTGACGCCTTTCCAAGAGGTTATGAAAAGTATTCTATTATACTATAAAAACCGAGCAAAAGTTCCATGGGATTTAAGATCGTATTCTATTCTTCCAGAATGGTTAAATTATTTCTTAAACATTGCAAATCCCTTGAGCGTGTCTTCGTGTTTTGTAGTTTCACACATTTATGTTTCTGTATTAAAGCTGTCCTTTAGTATTTCTGCTCATAATACCGTACACATTTAACAAATCCATGATATTAGCGTATAAACAAGCGGTAGGTACCAGAATTCTGTTTCAGGTCTTTCTTCCAGCTAACCCTTAAATCAAAGTGGCCATTTACACCTGGGTTTAAGCAATTAAGTTTCAATTCAGTACTTATTGGAAGGCTCAAAGTCCTATATTGGTATGGAGGTGCCATCTCGATTTCCCCCAATATAACCTCTCTGTAAAACAGTTGTTATGTGTCTGAAAGTAGAGAAGCCATAGCCAATGGGGGCTGTCATGTCCTCCTCACCGCTGTTGCTTCACCTCAATCAGTGGTTCTGGTTAATGGCACGGAGAACTGACACAGATTTCTGTATTCTGGTAAAATGATGGCCACCCTTACAATTGTCAACAGACATGTAATCCAGCCGTTATTTTAGGGGCATCTATTGTATTCCATCTGTTGAAAATTAAATCAGCATTGTATGATTTGACAGTAATAAAGTAACTGTTTAAATCATAGAATGTAGTACAACGTAAGGAGTGCAGTTACTCAAAGTAATGTACAGTTGGCTTACTAAGACAATTTATGAGTTTTAAAATAATATAATCCGATAAACTGAATAATACTAACCCTGCAAATCATTTGCATCACTCCTATTTATTGTCTCCAATAAATACTTAATATTTTAGCCACATGGTGTATTCCAGTATGCAAACTGCAAGATGTTATATTTTGACTTAAAATCAATGCATCTACAAAGCTAAATACAGAATACAAAGGTGGATTCTAAAATCTAAAAACAACTGTAAGCGACCTCTGAAGATTAAATTTGCCAAACGAGCTTTTTTCTTACATTGGACAGGTTATTACTAACCAACAGTCTAGTTTTGGAAACTATACAACGTTCTGCTTAAGTTTTATTCATTACACAGGAATACAGTTCCTTTATTCTTCAGAAGGAATTAACTTGCTTGATACAGTATCACAATGCTGACAATGTTTAAAAATATTGTGATCTGTTCGCCAACTGGATGATGCAAGGATAGCCAAAGTGCACCAGTACACTCTCCACATATCAGCTTTCAGTGGGGAGGAGAACAGAGTGATAAAGCCAGTTCATTGATGGGGGTTGTTTGGAGGCCATGATTGGTAAAGGCCAGGGGGGATATTTTGGCCAGGACAACAGGGTAACACCCCAACTGTTTTCTAGTAAAGTCATTTGTTTTATGTCTCATCTGACAAAATGACACCTTTATTACAGTATAGTCCCCACCTCTATACAGATGAATAAGGGCCCACATACACAGTAGGGCATGCTCACCCTGCTGGTCCCACTAAGACTCTACCAGCAGCAACCATAGCTTTACCTTTGGAACCTTTGTAAGGAGATATTACTGCTGCCTTTATTGATTTATTGATGCAAAAGCTTCACAGTTTCTTAAATTTAAACTTTTAAGGATGTAGCATTGGTGTATTAACTAATTAATTGCAGTATTATAGCAGAAGTTTTTTGTCTCTTTCATTGCACTGAAACCAACTTATTTTACAGACTTGATAGACAAGTTGGATGACATACTTCCAAATCTACAGGAAGATCATATTAGCATTTGGGTGTTGGCGAGAGAGAGCCAGAGGCCTGGAGTGGAAACCTTGCTGGACAAGGTAGACATTGCCCCAGATGGACCAGTTCCAGCACATCTCCGTGCTGCTTCTTCTGTGAAGTCACCTACATTGTATATTTTTACTTCAGGTACCACAGGTGAGTGGCTCGAGTATCGCCACCTGGCTTGCAATAAGATAAAAAATATTATTTCTGATTGCATAAATGAGAAGAACACTGAAACACAAAATATCTGATAAAAGAAGGAATGGGTGAATCTTGTAGAACTTTGACATTAGGCTGTCTGTGGTTTAAGATGTGAAACACCCCTCAAAAGATGATCTGCCAAATCATTACCTTAACCAGTGCCTTGCCAGCTGTATTTGGAAATAAAGTAGAAGTGTGCTCATTTTCCTTCGTTCACTTCAGTGTAAACACAAATAGTGTCCTTGCTGGAGTAGCCATAATAATGTGGATAATGTCACATTGTGTTGCATTTCCATATATAAACATTCACTGTTATGAAGCATTGTTGTACAGTATGTACTGCATAAAAAATAAAAATTGGTTTAATTTGAAAATAATTTACTGGCAGTTTACAGTTAATTTATATTAAGGAGAAAATTAATTGAGAAGAGTATAGTATATTACCGGAATGCTAAAGTAGTTTATAATGATAGTAATAGAGCCAATAAAACTAAAGTAAAGGGAAATATAGCACCTGACAATTAAGCTAAAAATAAAAGGTGGAAGAATTTAAATAAAAATATGTGATGTTAAAATTATACAATGCACTAGTAAGATCACAGTTAAAAATACTCTGAAACATTGTGGTCACCATGTTATAAATATATATGTATAGATTTCTGCTCTGGAATCAGTCTTGAGGTGAGCGACTGGATACATACACAGGCTTGAAGTATTGTCCTGCACTGAAAAGCCAAACAGTAGAATGTTTTAGACAGAGACGGCGTGGATGTGATTCAGCTTTTTAGAAAATCCTCAAGGGCAGCGACAAATGCAGTCCATTGACCATCTTCGGGACATGCATGATACAAAAGGTTGTGGGAGTCTGGAACAAGCTACCCAGCCATGTTGTTGAAGTGGATACTCTGGCCTTTTTCCAGAAACAGTTGGATGTGACCCCTGGATTCATTAGTTACTGGCAACCAAACAAGCTAGATAGGCCAAATGGCCTACTCTAGTTTGTAGCCTTTCGTTTGTAGTAATAAAGTTAAAATGGTCATTTAGTAAATGGCGTGTGTTTTTTTTCTATTATCTTCGGTTACCAGCCAATGTGTCTTCTGTGTTAGCAGATGTCTGAGGCACAGGCCAGCCTTTTGGATGAGCTGATCACCAAGTAGTTGAAGGGTAGAATACTGAAGCATTTGAAATGAGTGAACATTCCCCTAAATGCTCAGTTTCTTATTGGGGGAAAAACTATCTTAAAATGTTCCATTTTTCTGTGACATTTCAGGACTCCCGAAGGCAGCTGTTATTACCCACCTTCAATCACTAAAGGCATGTGCAGGATTTTGGGCTTATGGTGCTACTAAGGATGACATCATATACATTCCCCTTCCACTGTATCACAGTGCAGCATCTCTTCTTGGCATTGGTGGGACCATAGAATTGGGTATGGTTCAATGGTTTTGTTAACAGAACTGTTAGTGGTATTTGTTTTGTTACACACATTGGAATTTACTATTTGTTATATAGTCTTTGTTTTTTTTATTTGTGATTTTGCCCTGTACCACTATTTAGTTTAAAATATTACAAATGAAGAGAGGACTTTTTTATGATCATTTGCAGTTTTAAGAAATTGAAATTGAAGTTATTCAAATGGTGAACAATGCTGAAATTTACATTCCCAGACCAATTGCCAATCAGCAATGTTAACACACCAGTATATAGAAGCAAACAATTTTATGAGGTCATTTTGGAAATTCGTATGGAAGAAACAAAAGTTGTTAATGTAGTGTTTGAAACTGAAGCATTTTGAAAAGACAACTTTTGAAAGAAACAGAAAGCTACACTATTTTATCTGCAGATGTGAAAAATGTAACTCATTTTCTCTGACACAGCATACACAGTATAAAATGTATGATTTTTTTTATCATTTGCAGAGTTTACTGTGTAATTGTGATGTAGTTATTTCACAGGAATATTGATGATTTCACCTTAGTTTAGTTTCTTTGCATTACTGATATTTACCATTCTATCGCAAACCTGACTTTGAAACTGTATTCAGAATTTAGTTTTTTAAAAGAGCAAGAAACTTAGATTCACATATTTGATCATCCTGGAAATGTGTATTCAACAAAGGCACTTAATTATACAGTGTCCACGCTGCAGATATGTTTTTATTAATTTATGTCACAATGCAGGCTCTTAGTTCAATATAGTTTGCCAGTATGTTTTTTACTTTGTCAAGGTTTTTCACTCTGCTCCACTTTTCTCTTGAAAATTCACAAGAGGAAATTGTCCATTGAATTTTGAAATTTATTATCACTTGGTTAAGTGGCAGACATCCATTAATTTCATTTCTCTAACTAAAAGTAAATGTGAATATTAAAGTTTGATTACACAACAGATCTTTGGCTTTTAACCTCAGTGAGTGAACAGAAAAATGGAAAATACATTTGAGTCAGGCTTATGTAAGAGGTAAAGCATTTATAATACTTGGTCAAAAACTAGGCTTTGAAATGACTTTGTTCCAGATGTGCCTCACAAATTAATTTATCTGCTAATGACGACTTTTCAGCATACACTTCATATTACTAAATCCCAGTTATAGTGATGTTTATTTCTAGACAACCATGAATAAGTTAATCTGAGACAAATTGTTAATGTGAAATTGAAAGCATCTGACTTATTGCCTACATTGTTTTGTTTAGTTTTTTTTAAAATGAAGAAAGTATTAAGTAGGATAAAGTTCAAGATTATTGATGTTAACAGTGTGTGTACATATACTGAAGGAAAAAAGAAATGCAACACCTCCTCCTCCACACTCTGGCCCTCTGGTCTGCGTGGAACAGGCTGAAGAGTGACTCATCCGTGAAGAGGATCTGATGCCACTGCTGAGGAGTCCATTGCAGCCTCTGTCTGGCCCAGGCCAGTCGGTTGTTACGTCTAGGAGGTGTGAGCAGAGGGCCTCTGACAGGTCGCCTTGCTCTAAGTCCAGCAACATGGAGCCTCACTGTCCTGTCACTGATGCGGGCATTGTGTCTACCGCTAGTTTCAGCAGCAGTACGGGTGACAGATCTGAAACAGTCTGATGTGTTGGTCCTGCTCTGGTGTGGCCACTCAAGGGTGACCAGATCTTGGACGGTCATCTGTCCTGCTGGTCAGCTGAAACCTTCTCTGCAGTCGGGACACAGTGGAGTGACTTACTCCATAGTGTCTGGCATTATGGAATGCACAGAAAATTGACTGTGTGGCCTTCTTCTTGCAGGGACCTAAGCTTTGAATTAAGGCCTTTTTAAAGGTGACCTGATCAGGCATTGTTCCACCTGGACCTCGTTGGGTAAAAGTGCACCTAACAAGCTTTTGTGTGATTGGCAAGTTGTAATGCCTCACTGCACAAGCTGTATTGCTGGTCAGGGGGCTTAAAACAAGTTGACTTTTTGTGAAAGAACATAAGCTATTGTATAACTATAGTATTCTCATTCCAGAAAATGTTGCATTTCTTTTTTCCATCAGTATATATATAACAAAGTGCTTTTTAACCCACAATGTAATATATAGTATGTAGTGGTTTTTACTTCTTTCTTAACTAAAGTCTCTTTTTGTTTGATATTGATCTTTTCTACTTGTATTCAACAGGAGCTACATGCATCCTGAAGAAGAAATTCTCAGCTTCTCAGTTCTGGAGTGACTGTAAGAAGTACAATGTAACCTTGTTCCAGTATATTGGAGAGCTCTGTCGCTATCTGTGCAATCAGCCTAAGGTACCATTACTTTTTTGCTGCTCCTCACGTTTGTCTGGCAGAAAATTGTAGACATTGAATATATTTATAGGGTTTAAGTTTAATTTTCTGTATTCCTGCAAGTAAGGTTTTCATATCATTTCGCTGATACCCCCAACTAATGACTTCAAACTCACCATTGGAAACAGAGAACAAAAATAAAAATGCATATACAGTATATTTAAAAAAGTGTACAAGAGGGCAGCTCTATAACCAAAATGAAAATTATGTGTCACGCCCTCTGCAGGCAGAGGGCGCTCCTTCCCTGTCCTGTCCCTAGTTTCCGGTCTGCTGTCCTTCCTGTTCCCTCTCTTCCTTGGGCTATATATTTCCGGGTCTTGCACTCTGTCCTCGCTTAGCATTGATGTTCGGGTGTCCTGAGACCCGCCTAGCACCAGGGCGCCCCACGTTCGCTCCCTGAGGGCATAGGTTTCTATACGGCATTCCTGAACTCTTTGCACTAATGAGCCCTGGCCTTTTTCCCGTCTCGCCGCTACGCATATGGGTCTTTTTCCCCTCTCCTACTCCCCACGGTTAGTCCCTTTGGACGTCCGTGACACTATGCTTATTAGGAACAAAGGTCTGCTAAGAGATTTTTAGTAGAAGATTCTCAGTATACATCTTCGTGATGTGCTTGTTCAATTTTTATTATACTTATAATTTTATTTAATATTTTTCTTTAATTGTGGCCTTGTGCCCATTGCTTGCCGGGATAGGCTCTGGCTTCCCCATGACTCTGTATTGGAGAAAAGCGGTTAGAAATTGGATGAATTTGTCTTTCTCTTCTTAAGGATTATCGACTGATACTGTTATCTTGGGAACACTAAGTCCCAGAACTTTCATCCCACCCCATTTTCTTATCAATATGTAATCTCCTTCTATTTTTTATTTTGTAGCCACCTAATTAGGAATCCCCAGTTGTACAACAGCCTGGGTAACTTCTACAGCCCCGATATCACATGGGCCGAATGAGGACCTGCACACAAATTCCTGTAACATTCCCACCTGCTAAGGCATTTTGCCACATGATATCCTTAAAGTTAGATGGTGCTTCACATCTTGCAGTCACTGCAAGCTTGACATGTATGATTTTGTTCTTAACAGGTAATCTTAGTCTATCTTATTTTTTATACGTTCTTATTAAGAACATATTTCTTCGGTGTCTTTATAGAATGCGCTGCCTTCCCTTTAGTCTGACGTTCTCAGATTTGTTCATTTGAATCGATTATGCTCTATATTGTGCTATCACAGGAGCTCAGTTTTGTATGATGATTGTGTAACGCATTGTGAAAAGAGACTAAAATCATTCAGCAGTGTAGCTGATAAATTGATTGAAAAGATTGGAAAGAGATTTTGAATCAATGAAGCAATGTCACTAAGTGGCAGCAGGCTATCACGTTTGCCATGCCCTTCATTTTCTTGGTTATGTACACGGATTTCTTTTAGAACAGACTGTCTTGAGCTTTGTTTTCAAAAACAGTCATTCATAATGTATTGGGTAACTTCGGCAATACGTATAAAACCAAATGCAAGTTAACTGCAGTCATGCAGTACATTTAAGAAAAATAAACTTCAGACCTGATTTGCTGATAGAGAAGTATAAAATAACTGCAAATATACTGATTTTAGATTAAAAATGTGCTGGAACGTTTCACATAGTCTAAATAGAACATTAAGGTTAAGTAAACTTTGATTCATCTCCTACTGTGGACATTTTTCAGACTTAAAGGAAACATTATTAACAGTCCTGTTATGTATTCAGATATAATTGTCACAGTATATGTATTTTCCCTGTTAAATTAAAGTAACTCAAAGCCTGTTGAGTATATGTAACTCAACATGTCTGCCTATAGAAATATTTCTGAACAACATCAAGATACAAATGTACTAGACAACATTAATTGAATTCTTGGCCAACAGTAAGCTAAATTGTTCTTATTTCAAGACTGTGTAATCAAACAGGCTTTTGTTGCAATGCAAAGCTGCCCATCTTCCTTTATGGGTACAGAACAGAAAATCAAGCCCCCCAGCTCAAAGATCTCTTTGTTTCGTTCACTCTCCCTCCCTCACTGTTAGAATTACATGAGAGACCTACAGCATGTACTGTGGTTCTGGAATACAGTGGAGATAAGGAATTGGCTAATTATTACCCGTTGAATTTTCAATGAAATAGAGACAATAAATCCACAATATACAGTAGCAACATTAATAATAAAAATTATCAGCACTATTAACAGTATTATGATTTAAATCTATATAAATAGCATTGGAACAATCAGCATGAAGTAACTTACATGAGTGGGACCTGAAACTACAGATCCCTGGTTTAGATTTAAGAACCTCAAACAGCAAAGCCTATTAGAAAGCCATGTCTTCTTATTCTGTTGTTTTTATAGATCATAAAGTATATGAATATAAAAAATAATGGCCTTATTATTTTAGAACTTACAGTAGATGTGTTCAATGACTGAATAATACTGTCCAGTTTCTCCACAGTGGTACAGTGTTCCTTGGGTAATTAAAAACCAATCAAGTGAATGACAAAGGGGTAATTCACAAACAACACATTCTTTGCTACAGTGAGTGGAGACAGGTCAAACCTATCAGCTTGCTTACATGCATTTAGAAGGCTATAAATGCAGATAAGTACTTAATAGTATATTGCTTGCATGACGCTTCATTTAATTCTCATGTAAACATAAACTGTAAAGAATCATATTTGTAAACAATCATAGTTTTCTTGCAAAAATGTGGAATATAAATTAAGGACCTTATTCTCAGGCTTTACAATATAGTTTTAAATACAGTACCTCATTTAGATTATTTTCATTTTTATACCCTTAAAACAGTAAGTATATAAAATAGTGGGATCATTGTATAACTAATCATAACTAACAAAATACAGCACAACTCTGTAATAAATTAGGTAAAGACAACTGTACAACCGTGACACCAAAATACAGTCATTTACAATCCTTGTGTTCCAGAGGCCTACTTACTACAGATCTAGAAACTGCACTACTTAATACAGATCTAGAAAATTCAGTATTCTGTCCCTATAATATAAAAACTATGCTACTTCAATGCCTTAACAGAACAAAAAAAAGTAAAACATGCATCTTACTTAATGGATCCTAAAGAGAACTTTACATCCTAGGTGTGTTACAACTTAATAAACTGACTTTTGAAGAAAGACAAAAAAAATCAATATTCCTGTTTTTGTTCTAGATATTTCTTTCTAATGTGTGTACTGAGTGAAATGTGTACTGTGTAAACTTTCCAAGATCAGTCCAGATATTAAAGGGTACATCTATTCCATGCGGTCATTGACCTTGGTATCATTTGGAGGAGGAGCTTAAGTCAAATCATTATGAAAAAGATAAAGATAACCTGATTAAACGTATAACACGAAAACATGAAATGCATGTATGGGAAATAACAGTGTTATATGGCATGCATGTCGTTTTATTCATTGGCACATTTCTGGTGTTGGAGAGTAACCAGGCCCAAACTTAGACAATACAAAACAAATCAACCATTTTCCCTGTTATAGCCATGCATCACTGATGTTAAAGAAATGCTTTTAGCCAAAAGATCTCAACATTTCAAAAATAAGAATGTCCTAAAATAAGACAGAAAGCTCTCTTGTAATAATGTTAAGACTTCAGTACTCTTTCACACTGCATATTGCTTGGGCAGAATCTGCTTGTTATTCTTATAGCCCATTTATGTTTCTTATCCATGTTGTTCACTCCCTTCTTCTTTCTCCTTCATTTCCTGTATGTCTCCTCCTCTATTTTCAGTGTCTTGCAAAAGTCTTCAAACCCTTAAAAGTTTTCAAATGTTTCTGGATTACGGATGGTACTTACACATCCATTTCCAATAAGTATTTAAGTATATTTCTAATAAGTATATTGCCAGCTCACATGCTCACATGGATTGATGTTTACCCTTTGCTCTTGGCAGATTTATTCAGGGTTATTGGACAGCACTTGTGGACCTTAATTTCCAAATCAATTTTTAGCAGACTTAAACATGTTCCCTCGCAGTATTTCCCTTTCTACATCCATTTTTCCTTCATTTCTAACATGATTCCCAGTCCCTGCTGATGACAAGGATCTCTGCAGCATGATACTTCATATGAAGAGATGTTTTTTCCTTGGGTATAGGCAGTGTTATGTTTGTGCTACACATGGATATTTGAATTTTGGCCAAGAAGCTCTATCTTGGTCTGACCACAGAACCTTTTTCCAAAACCTTGGCTGGGTCATTCTCGTGCTGTCTGGCAAACTCCAGAAGGGCTTTGAGGTGGTTCTTTTTGCGTAATGGTTTCATCCCACCCATACAGGCCAGTGTTATACAGAGCTCTCGATATAGTTTACTGATGCACCTTTCCTCCACTCTCAGCCACTGAGCTTTGTAGATCTTTCAAAATGATTGTTCACCTCTGAGTGGCTTCCATCACAAGTCACAAGTCTTCGTCTTCATTTTAAAGCCAAATCCGACATGCAGTATGTTGGAGTCACGTCTAATTCAGAAGTCTAATTGTAGTGGAATTTTTTTGAGTTTATGTGGGGTTAATTTAGAACAGCATACAGTTAAAAGGACCTTTTACCCTTACCGGTGGTAAAAGGTATGGTGTATCTCTTACCTGAAGTTTGAAAAGCAGAAATGTGTTGATTTTAAAATTCCCCTGTATTTTTTGCTTTAACAGAAAGAAGGTGAGAAAGACCACAAAGTTCGCATGGCTGTTGGGAATGGAATGCGGCAGGATATTTGGGAGGAGTTTCTTGATCGCTTTGGGAACATTAAGATGTGTGAGCTATATGGTTCAACTGAAGGAAATGTTTGCTTTATGAACCACACTGGGAAAATAGGAGCTATTGGTCGTTCCAATTTCTTTTACAAGGTGAGTCCTGTTCTGCTGCAGCTGATACAATAAATGAGAACATTTGTAGGGCCATTTTTTTAAACAATAATGATTTTATTGTAATTACTGTCGTATTTTGATTAACACTTTGCTTTGGTGTAATGATCCATATTTATTATTTGGGTGGAAATCTGTCAAAGAACAGCAAATATTATGACAGAGAGATGAGAAGGTGATTCAGGGATTGTAATTTAATGAAAATCAATGAAACAGGATACCTCATATTCATCTAACACATTCAAAATATACTTTTTTTCTGTTTTGAAAATAACAGAAGGTTTTATACCCTTAATCTTGAAGGTTTTTAAAGATTACCTAACATATGTTTACCCAACATACGTTCTGAAACATTCTGCTGTTTTTGCATCATTACCCAGTAATGGTTAAAAGTACTTCATGCTTAAGTACTGTAGATCTTTGTGTTAGTAAAAGATCACTCTGGATACTGTGTTTTTAATACAATGTTAAGGTGACTTGTTGTAAACACAACAAAATAATGTTTTGCATGTTTAGAGATCCCAGTTTACTTGATTTACTGAGGCTTTCAGTGTAATTTTTCCATTGCTGCTCTCCGACAGTTGCAAACTATTTGGTGTCTGACAAAACAGTGCTTTATACAGGTTTAGAGGTACAGCTTCCTTTATAAGTCAAGTGACTGCAGTTATTACTGAGTATTGAAATTTATTTTTATTTTTTCCCACTCCTACCAATGTGGTGAGGTATCGTATGCACCACACCTGTGACACCTGGTTGAGAATCTGTTCCACAGGATTGTTGTGATTTTCTTTCACATTTACTGGATGAAATTTAAATTTCTCTATACACACTGTTTACAATGCTTTTTTGTTACTTTTTGAATGCGAGTTGGTTTGGTTAAAGCCATCATTAGTAAACAGTAAACAGTAAACAGTATCGTTATTATTTCTCTTTTGTGTGATAATGAAGAGCACTTTAATGTATTAGAATTAATCAGCAATGTCATTTTTTAAATCTGTTTTACTGGTAATTGGCAACTTAGCAATAATGTTGAGAGATTATAATGCATGACTATAAGCCTGTCTCTTCAGTAATATTCACAACATAATTTTAGCGTATTTTTAACATTCTTAAATTGTCATCATCCCACATTTATGGATTACAAAAATAGTTTATTAGACACAATCACAGAATGGATTTAAATGCGATATCTTCATGAAGCTTATGTTTAGGAAAAATGGTCAGTAGGTTTAGTTTGTACTGTATTTCATTCACTTGAAGTCTTGTGAACAGATGAATGTAATTAAGAGGCACAGACTGTGCTTCTGTGCCCAAATCTGAAAAGAAAAAGAACTAGGTGAAAAGTCAATGTGATAATATTTCAGGTTTTACTAAATGAATTGAAAGAGTTGCATTCGGTCCAGAGTGCTGGAATTAAGGGATCTAGATGAGCTTTGCAGTGTCATTGCCTTTTGTGCGCAACAGACAATGGAGAGAGCACAGAAGTGAGCTATGCTTGCTCCAGTTTCTCGTTCTCAATATTGTTCTTAGTCCTTAAGGATCGCTGTATTTTTTCTATGGCTACCCAAGAGATGAAAAGCCTATTGCATTAAAAAGAAAGCAGAGGATTCCATGGCTATGGGGAGGCCAAATACTGTTGGGCACTACTACATAATAGTCTACTGAACTACTAAATCATTACTTAATTATTCTTTTTAAGCGCAGGTTAAAGAACATATTGGGTAGTCTCCATTTATCATTTTTGTATAGCTATGTTTTGAAAAAAAAGGAGCACAGTAAAAAAATAGCTTCTGAATTTGTGAATATATGGACTGACACCTTTTTGGTTTTTATACATGCTTTTTTAACACTTGGATTAAAAAATGTGCCTGAATTTTAGTATGACACTCAAGTCCTGATGAAGGCTTGTGTATGCCAGCATTTTGATAAGTGCTAATAAAATATTTTGAAGTACACAGTACAGTGTTCTGTTAAGCTTGCTCAACTTTTTGAGTCTGCTTAACCTTTGGCTGTACATTTTTCTTTCTCTTCTTAATATGACACTTACAACATCTATGAACACAATTACATTTAAAGCCTACCTGTATTTCTGACCCCAGTTTCTTCATACAGCCCAAAGAGATATTTGTTAGGTTAATTGTTGTGAGTGTTTGCGTGTCTGTGTCTGTTTATGCCCTGCAATGAACTGGTGTCCCGTCAAGGGTGTATCCTGCCTTGCACCCATTTCTTGTGGCTTCATCTCCCCTGCCAACTTGGATTGGATGAAGTGGCTAAGAAATGGGTGGATTGACAGGAGAAGACCCTGTCACCCATAGAGCGTAGACTGGCTTGGGGGACAGACAGGAGATTAGAGACGCATACTGAGGATAGGTGAGCATGAGTATTTTGAAGTCGACAAAGTAGCCTCATAGGAAGCCAGTGCAGTGACTCCTGGACAGGTGTAATGTGATCACTTGCACAAGACCAAGACCGTGTCAGGATTCTGGCTGAATTCTGGACATACTGATGTTTGTTCAGTGTGGATTTATTTTATAGCTAAATAAAGATTACATAAAAGAAAATCTCCTTTTGTTGAAAAGATGTACTTTCATATTCCAGTAGTGATGTATGCTGTTGTTGCTAAATAACAAACAGAATGAACAAAGAAACAAGTTCAGACCTATCTACCTTTTTGCTTTAAAGTGTGCGATGCCACGGGGGTTGTGGCTGTCACTGACTTGAACAGATGTATGCATTCATCTGGACACACCCCTTTCAGCCTGCTGGGGAACACTCTTGTTTCTAACTTTCTACGCCCTCTCCTCTGAGAATGGTGATGTACCTGGCCCTCTCGTTGAAATCAAGACATGTGGCACACATAGTCAGAAACCTCTGGGCTCTTGGCTCGCAGACTCTCAGGCCCAGTCTCCAACTTACCCATGCCACTACCCCATTCAGTCTCCCTTGAAATCCGGATTAAGGTCTCTCATCTCGCTGAGCTCTTTGTTCACGGTTCCTCACACCCAGCCCTCTCACCGCTGAGCCTCAGTACATGGGAGACCTGATTTCATGTGCTAGGCACTGCACCGCAGGACTGACATCTTGACTTGGTGTCCGCTCTTGGAAGTATTCAGCCTACCCTTGAAGTGCTTCCACAGCTGACGCTCTTCGGCACTCACTCCTCTCAGTTGTGGTTGCCGAGGCAACGCATCACTCTATATCCACCTACCTGCCGAGCACATCCCGTGTCATACCATAAGTTTTTAATTAAAAGTGACCACAACGACAAGCTAATTAGTCACAGGTGTGTAGGAAGTGGAAATTTGTAGGTTAAAACATTTTTGGAAGAGCACTGTTCTCTTAGCAGTGCCATTGGAAGATGTTGGTCTCACTCGCTTACTATTACCTGTTGTATCTTAATGATTCAAGGGCTGCTTCTCACATCAGATCACATCTGTCTTGATCTAGATTGAAAATTATGTGTTTTTAGCGGGAGAAATTATCTATGCATTCCCATGAACTACTGCACATGTAGCCACCTTTGGAACTTCTTTCCCTGTTATTGTAGGCCTTTGAGCCTTTCAATAAATTAATGAATTGAAGCTTACTCGCTTAATTAACCCTGATGCTGATGAACACTTTGGTAATTTAGGATTAACTGTAATTCAGAATTGCAATGGAATGAAGTGCCAGGGTCGACTACTTCTGGATTATTGCTGCTGAAATTCTTAATTTGGGAGGCATGGTGGCACTTGCAGGACTAGGGCATTGGGTTACTTTTATCTTATTTATACTTAGCTTTCTAAAGGAAAATGACTGAAATCAGAAACACATTAAATTTGTACCAAAAGATAGGAAGAGTGAATGGTCATCACATGTTAATTGTAACATGGAAAAAAAACACTTTATTTGGTTTAGAATTGTTCAGGATTCATAATTGATCATATGTGCTGATTGTCCTGAATCGAGCATAAAAATACTCACGGTCTTTATTTAGTTCTGTTTTAATTAGTGAATGGAAAATCTGTGTCAGATTTATAAAATATATAAAATAATAATAATAAACCTATTTTACACTTAGCAGTGTTGTTAGGAAGTTCTGAACTTTAAAGTATTAGACACATTTCACACACAATAGATAGAAAGCACTCTTTGAGTGGGTGTCTTATGTTTCTACAGCCTTGACACATTGGCGATGAAGAATTAGGGATGAGGTGGATTTTGTGGTTTCAGTGAGCCCCCTGGTGGATATAGCAGGTGTCAGCTTGTCAGTTTTATATTTTAGACAGTGATGCGATATTTGTGATGTCGCATACTGAATTACTTCTAAAGAACAAATTGCGGTACCAGTCAAGACATTTCTACTGAAAGCATTTTTCTATTCAGGCTTGAAATGGGTACAATGTTAATACAAATTTATATTGTAAATAGATGAACTGGTTCCAGTATAAAGAAAGTCAGGTACTTACAGTAAATACAATAATTCAGATTTTGTTATTTTTTTTAAACCTGTTAAGGATTCTCTAATTCAGTTTACAAAAAAGAAAGAATGGTTCAAGTTTCCAAGTTTCCTTTTGATAGAGGCAAGTTTTTGTCTACAGTATATCAGTAAATAAACTTCAAACTCTGTCTAATAGTTTCTTCTGTATTCTAGTTGTTTTTTCAGTACGAATTGGTGAAGTATGATCTAGAGAATGATGAACCTGTACGAAATGAGCAGGGCTTTTGTGAACATGTCAAGAACGGTAAGAAAATACATTTCTGTACAAGGGTATTAAAGAATATGAGAAAAGGTATCAGGGAAAAAAATAATCTTTTATAAACTGTTTTGACCTTTTATCTACTGTTCATGACTGTGCTACAAACCAAATCCTGACATTAATACATTAAGCGAATACATTGTGTAATTTTAAAATTAAGCAATAAAACGAGTTCTGCATATGCCTGTTACTGAAATAGGTTTGCTGAATGGAACCTTTCTCAAGGATGTACAGCAGCAAAGTGTGTACTAGGGTCTTGATCCCATGGCACTGTGTTTAGAAATCTAACCAGTGATCCATATTTCCCTAGCTATAGTACAATCATAGTACAGAACACCCTTTTTCAACACGGGGGGGTTACGTTCCTCTATTAAACAAATATATGTTGGAGAAAGCTAACGTTATATAATAAATATGGATACCTGAAAACTGTATAAACTAAAAGTACAAAAAAGGCAATTGCGACTTCACTGAACTTCTCGCGATAACAGTGTACACAAGGCTGAGTGAGTGTGCAGTGGTTTAGGAATGCTGGAGATTACTGGAAGATTCTAGAGTGTGTGTTAGCTTGGATATGTGTGGACTGCGTATGATTGCTTGTGGACAAAGCTTTCTTGTGCGACTGAAATTTGTTTCAGTTTATGCTTTTATGTGTAATTACATTTGAGTTGGACAAAGTGGTGTTGAAGTAAGACTTACTGTATTACTCAAACAATTGGTTTGTGCATAACATACTGTTACGTGGCATGGGTTTAAATTCCAGACCTGGGGTGAGGTCTGTGTGGAACTTTTTAGCTTCTCTCTATGTTTGCATGGGTTTCCTCCAGGTGCTCCAGTTTCATCCCACAGTTCAAAGACATACATGGTACATTAATTGACATGCTATGTTAGCCAGTGAACATTCCCATGTTTTTGTTTTTGTGTAGGTGAGACTGGACTCCTCCTGTCCCAGATAAACTCAAAAAGCCCATTTTTTGGTTATGTTGGCAACAAGAATCTCACAGAAAAAAAGCTGCTAAGGGATGTCTTCAGGAAAGGAGACGTCTATTTTAACACTGGAGACCTGTTGGCAGAGGACCATGAAAACTTCATTTACTTCAAAGACAGAATTGGAGACACATTCCGGTACAAAATTAAAAAGATTATTAATTGGCAAGAAAATATTTACTTTTGGTCCCTTGAAATGGGGGGGGGGGGCTTTTTTACTTTTTTTTAAAACGGGTTTTGTTTTTTTTTTGTTTCCCCAATATAGACGTAAATGCCCTCGAATTAAAGCTGACATTCTGCACCTTAACCTCATAATCATTTTTTCATTTCAAATCCAATGTGCTGGAGTACAGAGCCAAAACAGCACAAATTGTGTCACTGTCCAAATACTTATGTACTGCACTGTACAGTTTTATTGTATTGTTAAACATATACATATTTATTTAATATACACAATGTTATAAAAAACATTATGGCATGTACTTTGTAAACATAGACATCTGATTTTAAAGGTTAGACGTATTCACATTTTGCATTATGGAATGGTCTTATTGTACTGTAGGAAAAAATGCAGTTTGTTGAAGAATTCCATAATATTTTTCTAATATCATTTTTAGCTGGAAAGGAGAAAATGTTGCGACTATTGAAGTAGCTGACTTTCTTGGATGGATGGACTTTATACAAGAGGCAAATGTGTATGGTGTTGAAGTTCCAGGTAATGTCGCATTTTTTATAAAAGCCAAAATCCTTTTCATAAGATCATACTGTAAGTAACCCAGAATGGTTCCAAACAAAAGGAGGCCTATCTAGCCCATTTGGTAACTGGTAGCTTATTATTAACCCAAGGGTCTTGTCCCACTGGTTTCTGAAAGGCATCAGGGTTTCAGTTTCAGTAGCATTGTTAAATTGTGCTCTTCTCCCAAACCTGTTCACATAAAGAAGTGCCTCTTGATTATTTATAACTGCTGATTCTGAAGAAGTATATTGGGGTGGCTTTTTTAAGGTACTGTTAAGGTTTTAACTTCATTAACTTCATTAAACTATTTTGAAGAGTTTTTACTCTGTTCAGGACTGAAAAGGTTTGAAAACGTTTGAAGCAGCAATATCAATTTTGAGACATTGTGACCAAAACCAGAAGTTCTAAGTCATTTTTCCTCCATTGTCAGGTGTTGTAAGCAAGAACACTATATCATTTTGCCTGTTGTTGATTTTGGAAAACTTTGTTCAGAGGGGTGATTAAAATGATTTCTAAATATGCAAATACTTCTGCTGATATTCAGATACAATCAGAGGAGTATTGGTTCCTCAGAGATGTCCCTAAAACTCTGTTACTTCTGCCATTCCATGCTTATTACAATGGGTGCCATACAGGATAAATAATTAGACAGGAATGCCTTATATTTGTATGTCCTCCCATGTTTATATGGGCTTTTCACCAGGTGCTTCAGTTTCCTCCAGCCATCTAAAGGCATGCTGATTAGGGTAACTGGTATCTCTAAATTGTTCTTGTGTGTGTGTTCTGTGAAGGCAAGTTGTGACTCTCCTTAACATGAAGTGTCTGTAGGTAAATGATGGACGGATAGTATTTGCAGGCTACTATGTACAATTTGAGTGAATTCCCGAGCCCAACAAATCCAGCCTTTGCATACTGAATTACTACTGAATAACCCTGAAAACCCTACTGTACTCGGTAATAGTCTTAAATCCTTGTAAGAAGAAGGACACCTACTTTGATAAAATAAGCAATCCCCCATTAATGAACCTGCGATCTAACCTGTTGCTAAAAGGCTAGAGTCATTGGTCTATGGGTCTATACAAAAATGCATCCAGATAAATATATTTGCCTGTTAGACCTGAAAATGCAATGATATATTTCTACAAATATGAAAAATACAGTTTCTTTCCTTACATTTATACGTATTCCCTTTAATGCCCAATACTGAAAAGATTCTGGGCCATCAGTGAAAACTCCAGTGGTGGAGATTGGAAACCTTTTCGCTCCAGTCTCTCTGATACTCTTTCTGTCTTCTACCCTCTCCTGTTTTTGAGGAGATTCTCCCCATTTAAGTACACTGTTGGTTATAGGAGTTTGCTCATCAGCTCAGGGAATATACAGTTCCAAATATTTTTTAATTATTTGGTTGCTGTTCAGTTGGGTCTGCTGTCTTTCTAGATTATCTTGAGTTGTGAAGGCGATAGATTGGTAATATATGGGTGTGAGTAACAAAAGATACCCCTTTCTAGCAAGCAATTCAGATACCACTGTGTGCCAGATATCCCAAACACATAACAATAATTTCTAAAACATAAGTTAAAACCTACTTTTCTGAAGCTTATCTGACGCACATTTAGGATTAGGATAAATCTGGATTACTGCTCTTCAATGGAGGTAAAACCTGTTGTAAGGAACATTTAGGAAAACTGAATTGCAGAAAATGGCTGTTTTTTTCTACAGGTCATGAAGGCAAAACAGGAATGGCAGCTATCATTTTAAGGCCTGGCTTCAGTTTTGATGGGGGAAGGCTGTACGAACACGTAGTGAAACACTTACCAAACTATGCTCGACCACGGTTCATTAGAATTCAGGTAAAGTATTTGACAAAACAAAAAATTTGGTTTGTAAACACCAACATTCTTCATTCATGAAAATAACTGCATCAAAAAACATTTGATGTTTCCGTTTATTGGTAATGTGTTTAAAATAATTAGAAATAGTATGCACTGAAGTTGTTTTTCGGTATTAAGTCAATGAATAACACATTTTCTTTTATCCTTGCTAGTGAAACTTCCTTAAATTAGATTTTTCCAGTAAACATGTACTGTAGTTGGTTTTAGAATTTACCATTTGTTTATTTACCATTTACCATGTGCTATCGGTGTTAAATTCATGATTTTCTTTTTACATCTTTCTGATACAGATTTTTATTCTTTGCAGGAGTTAATGGAGGTGACTGGGACTTTGAAACAACAGAAGTTTCGATTAGTGCAGAGTGGATACAATCCTTCAAGTGTAACAGACCCACTATATTTCTTAGACGAGTCTAAGAAATGTTATGTTGCTCTAACTCAAACCATCTTTGACTGCATCGTTTCTGGGCAGATGAAGCTATAACTGCTATAGATGTGACATCACAATAACAGTAATACTGGCACAAGACTTTAAGCATTTTAATGTAAAATGCAACATTACACCGGCATTTCTAATATGCTATGTAATTGTATATTTTGGGAACAAAGAAAACTGCTCACAATTAGATTCCCTTTAAATAATTTATGGTTGCCTTCTGTGTGAGCATTTTACATAGACAATTCAGGTTAATTATACATGACTCTGACATAGTAAAAGTAATAATGTCTTTAGCGACCTTAAGTTGATGAACACTGAGGGAGTTCAAATTTCCACATTGGACAGACTGAGAGATTGTAATCAGATTTTAATGTTAGGTTATAGGCTTCATTTTGGTGTCTGCTTTCAGCATTTCCAGCTCTACTGTTGGAGGGTTCTGTGTGCTTTACAAACCCTGATTCATTCGAGCAAGACGTAAAAGTTCTCTGTTGTCATCTTTGTTACTAATACTCCTAGTGGCTTCATTGTGGAAGTTTTGTTTCTTTTGTTTTTGATTATTTTGGATTTTGATATTACTAATCTCAGTTTCCTTGACTATGAACCACAGACAACACCAAATATCTGGAAGTTATGACCTTAATGAGAGTGATTTAAAGACAAAATATTAAGTATAGGCAAATAAATAATTGGAATGTTGTAGTAACAGGAGCTGCCTTTTCATCTTTTGGTGGTTGCCAAACATTATCATTGTGTTCAGTATGGGAAATAACATTATAGGTATTAGAAATTGAATTGGAAAGTATCCTGCACTTTTGATAGGAACTATATTGGTTGAAATTCTAAGTCAGAATGTATTCATGAAATTCAAGAAATTAGTATGGAAAAAACCCTGAAGTCAGGAGCCATCTCCACCCCTACTCATATCACATTTATTATATAAAGGGATCATTTTAACATCACTACACAAGTAACTGTATTACATTGAACCTTTCCAAGGGTAAATTCAGTAATCTGGGAAGTTATGTTTATAGTATTTTTAGGAAGAAAGATAAATATTGGATGTAGATTATTTCCATGAATTTCTGGAGTGTGTTAAGCCACGGACAGATGTTTATATGTGCTACTTTGCACATATTTTAGAGTTTTTTAAGTTTAAAAAGTTTCATGTTTTATTTTACTTTGCCTTCTAACTGGTTATGACGGTTACCCTGACTCATGATTGTAGAATCCAAATTTGCACATGGTTGTATTCTCTTGCAATAAACAGTTACGGGTAGTATGATAAATGCCAAACATTTTAGAGATAGATTTTAGGCATACTAAAGTTTCCACACTCACATCATAAATAACTAGGATTTTTATGTATTTAAATTGAAATGCTCTAGGCATTGCGTGTTCATCCAAATAGAGTTTTTGGTACTATGATCATGAGAAGGAATATAGCATTAGAGCTCATAAAATCCATACCCTAAAAAAATACCCAGTGATCAGTCATACTGTATAAATGATCAGGAAGTGTGTTGTGGTATACGTACATGTGTATGTTAATTATAAATATACATAATGCCCCTTAATTCCATCTTCTGCTCTTCCAGATTATGTTTCCGCACATTTACTGACAGGCCTGTACTTAAGATTAATTACAGTAGGTGTTTAATTGATATGAGCCAAAAGACCTGTGGAGGCCAGAACAGCAGGATAAACAGTCCTCTATGGGTTTGTGATGGGTGTTTTTTTCTCAGAATCAGCATACCCAAAAACCATTAAGTTTCTCATCTCTTTACTTTCATATTTGGTTCGTAATTATGGTTAAAGGACTAGATAAAACACATTTACAGGTATGTTGTTATGTAAAGAAAATGTTTCTGTGTTTTTAGTAGTGAAATACGGCTGTTTTCAATTACTATGGTCCCCAATTGAAATTCTGCATGTCAGCCATTGCACTGCTATTGCAGCTCAATTCTCTATACCCTTCATTATGTTTGACCAGTAAAAAAGGTGAAATGGTATAGCAGCATACATCAGTGTTAAAATCTTCATTTTATCTCATAGTCCTACCTTCTTAGGATTTACTCAGGGTAATAGTCTGCAGTGGACTAAATATTGGGTTGCTAAAGCAGTAGATGTCAAATACTTCACTTTTTTTTGAGAAAAGAAAACAAATGATATCTTTACACAACAAAGCCAATGTACCATTGTGAATTATTTTCTTAATATATTGTGTTGTGCTTATAATCTTATCTGTCTTGTAATTAGTTTGTATATGTAAACAAGTACAGTACATGACTGGGATGTGTGTAATCAGTGTTCATATGAGGAAAAAATGGGCTTTCCAACTACAATCCACATGATTCATGAGTAAATCAGGTGTACGAATGTGCCAATTTAATATTTTAAATTTGATCTTGTCTGACAACAGTTTGCATTCCCATGTCAAACACTGAAAGAAATGTAATGGATGTTTAAAAAATATTTTGACTCACAATACATGCTAAACTAAGAGATTCAGTATTGTAATGCAGTTATTTTGTAATTAACAGAAGTTAAGTCAGTCAACTTCTACTGTAATTAATTTGGGCATGTCTGACTTTTGACTTGTAGAACTCCAGGGCCTCTTCAAGCTACAAAGATAGCATTTCCATATTCCCTCCTTATTGTCTTTATTATATTCTTAAACCTTCCAATGTATCTTACCAGAAGCTTTAAAAACTATAGTCTTAAAATCTGTTTAGCTAAAGGAGAATCATTTGAACTCTAGTTGTACACTGGAAATCTATCTACAAACTTCATTTGATAATTTTTCTTCTTAACAAATCATTAACCTACATTCCATTTGATATGTCAAAAGGGGCGATAATTGATCCTTTGATAATGTTGTAAGGCTATGAACAATAATATTAAAAATAATAAAATACTGTTTTCTTTTACCTTATTTTATAATGGTATTTATTATCATTTTTTTTATAAAAGGAGTGGTGTTATAGCTAATTGATAGAGGTGGAAGATCTTAGAAAATAAGTTAGACATGGGACCAGCTTGAGTACTTCTCGAGTAACTTATAAGCTTATTATCATTTTATATTTGATTATCAAAGGGGTATGCAACCAAATACTGAGTTTCACACTCTGAAATCTACTTAAATTGAATGTGCCTTAATATTTCTGGTCACTTGAAATCATTGTGTTGAACAAAAGGTATGTTTTTGTTCTAATATAATTGGAATGTATCCATTCACAAATAATTACCTAAGAAAAACAAACTATATAGTACTGCACTTGTCTTTGCTTCCTTGGTACTTTTGGAGGGCACTGTACGAACATCACTGAACTAGCCTAAAGAAAAATACAGCAGTGGCTGGTGGGTAATGATGGTTTACAATTTCATTTTAAAGCAGAAGCCTGATTTATGTCTCAAATCAGTATTTAATCCCATGTACATCCTCCTGCAATACAATTCCCAGCAGTTTCACCCTGTAGTGTGATGTCTGGGCTTTACTTTGCAGAAAAGTGTGTATTTAACATTATTCTGAGAAAACCCTCACTCTTTTAGTGTAATTATGTATGGACAGTATACTTTGCAGCCTAATTCTGTTGATCTTTTTTAGTTATTCCACAGTGAAAAGTAAAATAATTAAAAAAAAACTGTTTAAAGATGGTACAGTATTGGTATTAATTAAAAGGTGACTTTGTACTGTACAGTGAGTTTCATAATACACCTGGGATTTTTGGCCACCCTTCTGTGTATAATCCTCTTACACTTACTCACATATGGAATAATGGGCACGGCTATTATAGTGCCTAGCAACCAATAAAAAAAATAACATTTGAAATACCAACGTCTAGAGATACAGGTAGAGATTAAAATATCTTTCAACTTGAAAAACCATTCAATTTAGATTTTATGGTATTCCTTGTTATATAAAAAACCAAGAGGATTTTACAGTAAGTTATGTAACAAATTACCTTAAGCTTTGGACATTAGGATGAAATACTGTACCTACATTAACTGTAAAAGTATTTACGAATTTCTAACCAAAGTAACAATACAAAATAAAACAGGGTGGCTTCTTAAATACTAATGGCACAATAACAAAGCTCCCTATAGATCTGTGGCTCTTTTTACCAACATGTTTTCTCAGAGATCTTTAAGAGTCCCAACAGAAGATGTTCTGGGAATTATAAAGCTCATAAAGGGCATTTAAAGGGCAACTGCGTCCCAATTTCTCAGACCAGTCATTAAATCTCGGTAACAAGACAAATTAATTGATGGTATAGAAAAGTTTTACAAATTTTAAATGAAACACAAAATTGTGACCTTTGTGAAAGTGCTGTAGGATGCCATGCTGTTGCAAACCCCTTGTCTCTCCTTGGGCAAGAGAGAGAGTTCCTACAAACTGTGACGTGATGCTTGTTTAAATTGTAATCAGACTGCTTCATGTCACTGGAAGTTTTGTTGCCTGGTTCTGAATAAAAAAATATGGTGCTGCACATACCTGGACATGTTGTCCATTTTTGTAATGAAAATTAAGAGATTTTACAAGTTATTGTGTATTGGGAATGCACTGATCAATACTGATTCTTTCTAACCCCAAAATATAAAAATAGCATTGCAGTTTCCCTTTGAAGCTGCCAGTATTTTAAAGAGTTTATATTCTCTATAACAATCTGCCAAAAGAAAAGAAGCTGTGTTTACATCATGATGTTCTCTTTTGTTCTGGTTCATTTTTTGACAAGAATACAGTAAATCATAACTTTCATAACAGGGGTGATTAGGGACTGTGCATGAGTCTCTAGACCCAAACAAGCACAGTATGGACTGGCTGGGTTTAAAGACTGTGCTCGATGCAGGCAGGAAATGGAGGATGTGGTGGGGGAAGGGAAGCATGAACTCTTGAGTCTGGGTGGAATGAAATGATCCTCTGTACTGCTTGCATAGCAGTGGTACGCTTCACATACTGTATTTTGTGCTTTGCACACTTTTAATTTCATTCCCTCTTTTAATTTTAAATGGCTTTGGCATAATTATAACTTTGAAATCCTTAAAGGATTCCAGATTCACTGTGCTGCCCAAACACAAGCTCTACACATAGACCATCATGTAATCAAAGTTGATTTTTTGACATCAACACAAATTTGAAAGGTGTTTCATTTACTATGGAGGGCAATAAAACAATATAAAAAAAAACCATGGAGGAATGTTATATATTTGAAAATATAACATGTCATAGATTAATTTATACTACTCAGTATGGGCTACTTTTTATACTGCAAATATCACAAGTAGAAATATTTTAGTATTTTTAAGGGAGTAGTGGCTTCTGTCTTTGTTTTTATTCAAGCAACAGCAAATAAATCAAATTTGAGCCCTTCTTGTCCTTCTAAGAGCCAGACATGATGCTATACTACCTTTAAATACACTCAGTGAGCACAGATCTTGGGAAATGTTTACGTCCATCACATACTGTACAGTACAGTACCTTGAGAAGAGAGTTGTCATATTAATAATGACCACCGGGAATTGTTAATTTTTCTCACAACTCTTTCACCTTTAGCAAATTCTAGACATGAAAAGTCAGTATTTGGTTGCATATCTCATCGGGGGCAATAATTGTGTTAAGGACTGTAACCCAGTGAGCTCAACCAAACATTTGTGCAATCATTTGAGATGCTTTACTGAAGCTTCTTTGAGATCTTATTTATGGGGTGTTCTTCTCTGTTTTCTTCAACATACAATGTATGCTCAATTTGATTTACATCTGAAGTTTGATTTGTACAGTCTAAGATTTTCAATTTTTTCCTCCTGTTGAACTCCTTAGTTGCATTGACTGTATATTTTGAGTCATCGTCATTCTACATGGTGAAGCTCTGCCCAAATATGGAAGCGCTTTCTTTTACAGAAACCTAGGAATTCATTCAGCTGCTGACATCATCGATAAAAATGAGAGAGACAGTTTAGCATGTTGGTGTGGTGTAGCATTTCATAACTACATTTTTCTTATAAATAAATTCTAAATTGTCATGATCATCGAATTCTGTACTTTCACAGCTCATTTCAACGAATGTTGATTCATACTTTTTGCCTGACTTAATATTCTGTGAAAATCCTTTATAAACTGCAATATGGAAATGTATAATTTTAAAGTATTTGGACATGCAGATATCAACATTTCACTTTCTGTATTATTTGTATAGGTTATGCACTTTCCTTCACAACTTTTTAACATATAATAACTTTACATTTTAATTGCATTAACTGGACAGCAGCATTTCTACCTTGGCTGACAGGTCAGTATCGGTTAGGGGAAGAGATTCAAGAAAAGCCAATTGTTCCTGTAAGTGGTGTTGGAGGACCAGTAGGTGTTACTCTTCTGGCCCAGACTTTCCAAACCACTATAAGGGTCCACTATAGTGAGTGGACACCTATCGCTGTAGAAGGTCCCATCCTTTTGGTTGAGTTGTTGAACTGAGACCCTGAATTAATTGTTATTAAAAGCCCAGTGGAACTTTTTGTAAGAGTAGAGGTGTTAAACCTGTATTCTGGGTATATTCCCCTTTAGGCTTGTTCAATCGGGTCTTCCTTACATTTCCCTCCTAATTAAAATGAAGAAATAAATTCTAACGTTTGCACCTGTAAACTACTGTGTACTGGACTGAGGCCTCATAATGGATGCTTGAGGGCACCTAGGTGAGTTCTGTATTTCAGATGTGAAGTGGATCCTATCCTGCACATACATTTCTTTGAGGAATGAAAAAATATATACATATTTATTAAAATATATATAAATGAGAATCTATATAAACACAAGGGGTTATATTAACTTTTGTTTCTATTCAACAACTCGTCGCTGCTTTACATGAATCAATATTATGTCACAACTACTTTGTTATTTTTCTCACAGTGAACGTGTTCTGCCCAAAAATGTAGCTGATGTAATTGAAACCTTAAAACGTGCGTGAGCGCCTGACTTAGTACCCAAATTTACCACACCATTTTTTTTCAAAGTATTCTAAATCCACAGTAAAAGCAGGTAGCTACTAACTGGTAAACCAGATAATAACAAGTAAGAGATTTTCAACTGCCACTTGTAAATTGGTGTGACTCACACTCTCCTGCAAATGGAGAGAAAAAACAAAACATTATATGGAATAGTGAAAGAGAAACTTCCTTGGCTAAGAAGACAAACAACTCCATCAACATTAAAACGGAAATGCCAGTTAGTCCTGTACAGCCACTCATGTAACTTTCAGTGCCTGGGGTTGGTTTTCACTTTTGTCAATTGATGTTCAGTACTAACAAGAGTTTCAAACTGAGAGACTTGCACTGACACGCACAAGTCAGCAGGAAACTACTTTTCTGTTTCTTATTTACTCAAGTTAGCGGTCTTCTATCTATTACTAATATACTGTAGCACGCTAGGCTTTAAGTCCTGGTATATGAAGATGACGCGAGCCGTTTTCCTTCCTTCTTGAATTTAGTGGTTTTCCAACAGGTCAAGGTTGAAAGGTTGGTGAAGAGAGGAGATTTCTCTCCGCCTTCCTCACAACAGATAAAACATCATGGCGGACGTACACCACGGTAACAACAATCACGTCCCGATCCTATTTTCCTTCTCAGTCTTCTCACGGCCCTCGTCGGTTCCGCTCGGTTCCGGTTATGAGGTTCTGATACAGAAGTTCTTGTCGATGTACGGAGATCAGATTGACGTTCACCGGAAGTTTGTGATCCAGCTGTTTTCAGAAGAATGGGGGCAGTACATTGATCTCCCAAAAGGGTTTGTAGTTGCAGAGAAATGCAAGCTACGATTGGTACCACTACAAATGGAAGTAAGTTTTTCTTATTTTATTAAATGCTTGTAATTGTGGGTAGCCGAAGAAGTTTCTGTAATCAGTGTTTTTGCTGTATTCATTTTTACGTTTTGGTTAGACTTAGGAGCTAAATGTACGTGCTGTTTCTTAATTATTACACATTTCAGTGGAAAAGGTGTATTAATGTCCTGTGAGTGAAGATGCAAGATCGTCATGAACACGATATGAAACTTGACTGGAAAAATAAGGAGATTTATTCATAAGGATTAGTTCAACCCAATACTGTACCAACAACCCCCTCCCAATTTTTAATTTACCATTTGCAGCTGTTATCATAACTAATGTTAAAAAAAGCAGTACTGCTTGCTTTATTTATGCATTGCTAATGGTCTTTGTATTCACCTTTGATCAGACAGCTTTACCCAATTTGTCTTGCAGAGCAGATGTTAAACACCTACGCTGTGGGTCTTGATAGTCCAGTACCATATTTTTCCTATCTTAATATTCCAGGAAGATTTGTGCACCAAATATCGAGAACCTTTACCATCTTTGAGTTTAGTTCCTTAACACGGATAAAGCATTCAGGTCCATGACGGCACAAATTTCGAAGTGTTAAAAAGTGACGTCTGTTGATCAGCCAATTGAATGTTTACCTGTAATCGTAATGGAAAGTAACTACAGTATATATACTATATATATTATATATATAATAGCTTGAAAAATTTGATGGCGCCTAAAACAGATTTCTGTTACAACAACATAACGTTACCTAGTTATGTTTTTTAAGCTTTTTACTGTGGTCAGAGAGCTATAAGCTCGAATCCCAAGCTTTTTGCAGATTGTTTTTATAGGAATACTGTCTGCCCTGTTTTTTGTAAGGCTTACACTGTCTTCACAAAATAATTAAAATTACAGATATTGCGTTGATGGATGCTATAGATTATTAGTATGTACATTTTTCTATGATTGCAACTTAACCTTTCTGAACTTGAGTCATAGTCATAATACAGCTTCACTAAAGTTAATTTTATGTTGGGTTGTGCTTAATACTGATGATAATGATTTTGGAAGGAATTTTATTATGTGGACAATTTTGAACATGTAAATTGACATTAAATCGTGTCAGACTTTTATATTGTTGTGTTTAACATTAAGAGACATGCAATTTATTATTGGATGACCTTCAAAATCATTGTCAGTGTTATAATCTCTTATTGTATTTTAGTACATTTTAAGTATTTGGTGCATTCAAAAGGAAAGTTTTTTTCCTTTGTATATTTGAGTGATTTTATCTATTTCTCTTTAAATGACATAAAAGTATTCATTTGTTACCATTAATCTGTCATGATACTTGTCATATAGTAAAAACTGTATTTTCTGTCAATATATTATTGAATGTTAACTCCATTTACTGTAATTCTTTATCAGTTTTGACATGGTATTTACAATAAGAACAGTTTTACATCTTCCTGTAATTTGATTTAAAATCCAAAATGAATAATTTAATTATAGTTGTGGTATGCTAGTGATACATTTTGTTTCTGGTTTATAGTCATTCTTCACATAATAAGAAAAAGTTAACCTTACTTTCTTAGTAATCAAAAAATAATTGTTTGACACTCATTCTTCAATCTTATGTCACGTGATAACAGTCAACAGATGTTTAGTATAGTGTAGGTTCAATGTATAAAAATGAACAGAATTGCACTGTTGCAATCTGATAGAAATGGACTGTTATGATGCAGACATGTGATGGGCTCTTTTGTTTCATATGTGCAGATGACAACATTGGGGAACCTCACTCCTTCAAGCACAGTTTTCTTTTGCTGTGACATGCAAGAAAGGTTCAGACCTGCCATCAAGTACTTTGGGGATATTATAAGCGTTGGGCAAAGACTGGTAAGCTTTGCTTTCTTTGGCCCTAGAAACAGAAAATAATGTGCACTATGAGAACGTAGAAGTTCCTTCTCTCAGTAGATTGACTGATGTCTGGTTTGTCTCCTTCAGTGGGTGTATATGATTTTTTTAAACTGTAGTTGTAACCTCTTCAATTTTTTCTTCCTGTGGAAAGACAAGTAGAAAGTTTGACAAGTTCCACAGTGATGTTTCAAACCCATTTTGTTTATTCTAGAGTGCAGTTAGTTTATGTAGAAGTATAGTACCGTATGCGATGAGTAAATAACACTAAGCAGAAGAATTGTACTGCATAAGTAGTAATCTATTTTAAGGTGCTTATTTCTTGGTGGGGTTGAACATGTTGATCTGCCTTTCTGTTTCTGGTTCCTAGCTTCAGGGGGCCCGTATTTTGGGGATTCCAGTAATTGTTTCTGAACAATATCCTAAAGGCTTGGGAAGCACAGTACCAGAGATGGACCTGACTGGGGCGAAGTTAGTGTTTCCTAAAACCAAATTTTCAATGGTTTTACCTGAAGTTGAAGCTGCACTTGCTGAAATTCCAGGACTCCGAAGTGTCGTCTTGTTTGGAGTTGAAGTATGTAAGACTGTTTTATGTTAAATTGCGGATATCTCTTCTTTTTATCTTTGTATTTGTGTTACTTTTAAAAACAAACTTCCAGATTTTGTATACAGTACATAATAAAACAAGGTAGTCTGAATACAAAATGGGCAGAATTAAGGCTAATTTAAAAGACGTGAACCTGACATAACAGAAAACGTAGAATTATCTAAGCAGTTTGAAAACAAAGATTAACAATATATGATATGGTTGAATAACTGCTTTTTTTGTCTTTTTCATTCTGAACATTTCAATCTTCATTAAGGAAACAACTTAATTTAATGAGATCAGTAAATTTTTTTGACGAATGCATCTGTTTCGCCTCCACTGTATTCTTTATTGCATATTTAAGATATTTATTTCTATGTATTACCTTATGTGCTCTGCATCATTTCTGTGCTGAAATGTTGTGGGTGACTCCATCAGACACAGGAAGACAAATGTTTGGGACTCTTTTCTGATTTTTTATTTTATTTTGGTTTAACATGAAATCAAAATATACCAATAATTTGTATATAATTTCCCTTTAACCAGCTACCATATTTAATCAAACTAATACAATATAGTGTAAAATGTCAAAGAGAATTCGAGAATTGATAACAAAACAGACATCAATAACTTGACTTGTCTATGAGGTATGCAGGATTTTTAATAGTACATGCTTAAGACAAACAATTTCAAACATTTTATCAGGCAAACTCTTGTCAGGTGTTTAGAAATGTGGTTAAAATGTCCATATCTAATTAATCAATTCCAGTTAGGGTGCATTAAGAGTGCTAATACCATTCTTTTCTCTAGAACTAGATGATATCACATCATGGGAATTCCTTGAATTCCTTTTTAAATGCATCTACTATAGTGTAATTTTAAACAATATTTAATGGCATTTTATCACTCAGTTTTCTTATCCCAGTCTAGTCCTGTGTTAGCAATTGCAACAAATAATAGGAATAGGCATTGTCATGTCTTAAGGAGTCATTCACTTCCCATCCTGTCCCTTCTGCCCTGTTTGTCTCAGAGAGTGTTCTGTTGTGTTCATCTGACTTTTTCTTGTTCTTTCTTAAACTTATTCCAAAACATTTCATTGTTGTTTGAGTGAAACTGATATGGCAGATAGACGAATGTAGGGAGCAAAAAAAACAGTCAGGTAGGCTATGAGTTGTGAGTTATTGGAAGAAAATGACACCTTGCCTCTGGAGAAAAGACAGTTTTGTTAAGTATTATTAGCAGAGAAGAGGTAGAAGTGTTGCAGGTATTTGAAGCACAAAAATATAAAACAGATACATCTCCAGGACCTGATAATATTCTACCAATTTTATTTAAGGACAAGTTATTCATAGACTGTTAACAAACATTCTCCAGCATTAACTCAGGAGAGAGGTAATAGTTTCTATTGGGAACATTTCTAATGCAACACCCATCCATAAAATGACACGCCAATAGAGCAGAACATACTAACTAGAAAAGCTGAATACATGGTAGGTTATGGTAATGATAATTGAAGCTAAACCAGGAGAACCCTGCATGGCAGTAGGATTCTAGAAGTCATTTGATGCAGATGTTATTACCTTAACTTGTTAAGTGTTCTCTAGAATGCAGCAAATAGTGCAGGACTGATATTTATATTTTTAGAAGGCCTTGATAAGATTTCTGTACAATTCTTTATACAGTAACCCATTATGTTTCAATATAAAACCAAATTAGGAGAAGCTATAGAAGCAACAAAAGAGAATAAGAATTCAAGACAAGAGAATTACCTGGCTGATGACATTTAATGTAGCCAGGTGCAAAACTACATGCAGGTAACAAAAATCTAAACTATAGATACAAAATGGGAAATGCTTGGGAGTTTTTATAAAGCCATTTAGACTGAGGTGTTTATGTTGACTCATCACTTTCATCTTCTTGACGACTGTCATGGAGTGTAGTTAAAAGTGTAGAATTTATGAATCGATGAAGATGTGTCACGTTAAAATTGTACAATGCATTAATAAGACCTCATTTTGCAGATTGTGCATGATTTTGTGTTATAAGAGCAATGTTGCTTCTTATCAATGTTGTTTTCAATCTAATAACAGGACGCAGGTTTGTAAAGGTCTGCATCAATTGTTGAAGCTGATACCCTGGTTTCTTTAAAGAAATGGCTTCATGAGATCAGTTAGCTACTAGTAACCAAATCAGGTATATGGGTTGAGTGCCTTCCTTTCATTTGTTAACTTTTCATTTGTTCTTGCATCTGACATGTCTGGAATGGTGACAGTGAAATAGTGAACCTTCTATTTGATTTCAGTGAAGGATATGCGTTCAACCTGCTCTTTGTTTGATCATAGTTAATTCGGTAGGCTGTAACAAAAAAAGCTCTGAACTTGATATTTGTTTACCTTGCACAAGACGAAGCCTTCATCATTAAAGTATTCTTATTTAATTAAAATGTTTAAAAACAATAAATGTAAAATATTTACATGTGAAGCTTACTGGGCATAGTAGTGTTACACTTTCTGATTTCCATGTCTTCTCTTTAAGAGTGCATCTTTTTGAAAAGAGCAAAGCATTAACATTAAGGAGAGACACTTATGCCTCATCTATTACACTGTTAATATTTGCATGAATTAAAGAAGATAAATTAAAATAGCTGGCAGACCTTTCCTTTACTTTCTCATATTGGGTTAAGTCTTAATCACCATAATGATTTTAACAGAAATTGTAGAATTTACAAAAATGTAGTTTTCATTTCATTTTCATTTAAAGAAAGTACAAAACGATGTTGTATAAGTCATATACAGAATGGTATAATCTTGCTTTTTTTAATTGATGTATATAGTGTTATAGATAAAGCTTAGTGATTTCTCCTTAAAATAAATGCTTTCAAAGAAAAAATGACTTAAAGCATTAATGCTTTAAACACATTCATTTTAAAGAAGAACATAGTAACTGGCAGTAGTCTGACCAGTTATTTTATTTCAATTTTTTTCTGTTGTAATGTGACACTGAAGAATGAAATACATTTCCATTATATGCAATCACCTAATTGTGAACCAGCAAAATATCAGAGGTAGACAATCCCAGTTCTCAAGTGCGGCATTTTTTTCTTGGTTGCATTTTATCTCAAGTCTTAATGGTTTCATAATTCATGAAGTTGATGAAAAGTCAGATCAGCCATTTTATCTTAATCATGCTCAAACTGAACAGTACATGTAAATCAGCGGGTTCAGACTCATGAGGGACTCGTGTTTCCTGGGTTTTGTTCTAACCTAAGTAGTCATTTAAATGACCTAAATTGGGTATATTTCTTAAAGTCTTACAAATGATTGTACAAGCTACTCACTTCATTAAAGGAATAGTTGCCTATAAACAACCTCAGAGCTTATTAAGTATTACAGTTATGCAACTAATTAAATAATTAGACCAACAGTAGAACTGAGAACTTGGTTGAGACAAAAACCAGAAACAACTAGGTCTTCCAGTTCTGAAACCTGCAAGATTATTTCTGCTCCTGCCCTAGATTTCTACCATGTTCTTATTTTACTGCAGCTGCTACAGATCATTTTGACAGTTTCTCATCTGTTTTATTTTCTCGCACTGATTCATCTAACAACTGAAATGTTGAAACATTGCTTCTATGACACTGTAACACTTCTGTGAAACAAATTATTCTCCATTTCTTTTTTAACCAAACCTTTATAACTTAGTACTCTGCCTCAGTGCTTAAAAGGGTTTACATACTGTGTATGTGCAGATTTTCCCATCTTACCACCTGCCAGTAATGAAAATATTTCTTTACTTGTTCCTATGGTACCAGGTTGAGGACTGGTTTGAAAATATTAAGTCTTAAGTCATAACATCATTGTATCTGCTGATATTGGTTTGCATTGTCTTCTGCAGAACATTACCTTATATTTTATAATTGCAGGTATAATCACTTCTTTTTGAAGGGTCATGATGAATATACAATATGAACACTGCTCGATCTTTTTTTCTTGGTAACTCGCTTAATATACAACTTCTCCCCTACCCTCTTTTGGACAGCCTCTTTAAAAGAGCCCATCTTTTAAACAGTGAGCTGTCGGTTGCTGTTCTAGATTTTCACATGATTCTCTTGCCACACTTAGATCACATATGCACTGTCAAAAGGAATAGAGATGTCATGGTAGTGAAAATGCCAGTACAATATACAGTACTCTGACTTTGCTCTGAAAGTTGTCTGGAATTGACATACAGTAGGTAGATAGTGAAGAGAAATTGTTCATGATGCACAGTTTGCAAATGTTGTGTGTACTTGACCAGCCAAGACACAATGAATGCTGAAAAACAAAATCTGGGTGCAAGTTTTAATTGGTGTTCTCCAGCTTTAGGAATTTGTAATTATTTTTATTCACTTTTCAGGCATTCCCTGTTGTGCACCTTAAATAAGCTGAGTGTTATTCTTTCTAAACTTTTCAAGCATGGTTTATGTTAATAAAAATGAATAATTCAAGTTCAGTTGACCTTTAACTGAAAAATTGTTTCTGACAGGTGACAAATGGAAATATAAAATAAGTTCTGTTATGTTACTGAGGTTTTTTTTTACCAAAGCTAGATCAGTTTTAAAAAGGTTAATCTAGTTTTTGGTATATGTTTATATAATGCCCAGAGAGACAAAAAGCATACCCAGTGAAAAGCTAATGGCAGTAAACTCCATATATGAGCTAATCCCTGTAGGATATACAGTATTTAAAGAGGACAGTCCGAAATGAAAACATAGTGAACGTCTTTTGAAAGGGGACTGCTACGGTAGAGGCATATGGAGGACCTGTGTATAGTATCTTAGACTCAGATTTTGTGAGGGATGATGATATTTTCTAACATTCAGAGCCAGAATGTGTTAAAGATCCATGCAAAAAATAAATGAATGCTGATTCAGTCTCTAACCTCTAACCAGAGTTTTGTAAAAATTCAGAGTTGTTAACAATTTTTTAAAATGTCCATTTGTGTCCCAAAGGTTCATTCTATATTCTGTCGATTACATTTTTTACAAATTAAAGCAAATGCTGAATATTTTAATGGCTCTCATACTGAAGCCTGCTGCTTGGGTGTGTCTTTCGGCATGTGTGTCTGACACAAGACAGTGACCGAGTCTGTCAGTCTGAACAGTCAGTACTGCATACCTCGAAGTGGACTGTGGGTCTGTTGTTAGAAGAGCCCATGCCAAACCCCTGCTTAGTGGGCTACATGCTTCTTTTTAAACGTTCTGTTGTAATACCTCAGGTATTTACTGATATCTGAAGCTCCTGACCTACCCGTTTATCTCCTACAAATTTCTACCTACATCTGATACATTTGGAGACTGAAGTTAATTTATTTTTTGTATTAATGGTTAAACTCACCCTTTCATTTACTTGAAACAGAGGATGATCATTTTTATTGCATGCTTATCAAAACTGCAGCTGTCCAAGATGTGTACTATGGGTTTCTGGGTTTTCATCTTCATTGTATTTTTCAGCAGTTGCAGGCATCACTCCATATGCTTTAGTGTCCAGGAGAGTTCAGAAGGATTGTGTAATCACAGCATGATAGTGATAGACACAAAACCACGGAGTTAATAATAACCATGAAGAGTTAGAAATTTGGAAATGTCCAGTTTAAAAAAAGTGTCAGACTGATTATTTTTTCCTTTGATTCTAGACCCATGTGTGCATTCAGCAAACAGCACTGGATTTGCTTGGCAGGGGATTAGAAGTTCATATCATAGCTGATTCCACTTCTTCAAGAAGCATGATGGACAGAATGTTTGCACTCGAGGTAAACCAGAGTTTCACCACACAAACAATTAAAATCAAATTGGTTTTAGAAAGAAATGTTCCACCAGACACCATTAAGTTTGTTGCTTTTCCCCAAAGCTCTCACAGTGATTTGAGGGCTGTGTGCAAAGAACATATTGGTTTAGAAAAGGAGGTGGATGTGTTAGAAGGGACTGTGACAGTGCACGTGTTTGTACTGTATATGTTCTTAATCCATACACATACAGTGGATTTGGGAGTCATAGGAGTAAACCAGGTTTCATTAACATTTTGTGACTGCCAACTGAGATTATGAAAAAGAAAGAGCTTCAGTTTCCACATTTTTAAGAAAGCACTTGCAAGCGAAAGTGGTGGATATTGGGATAAATCTGCAAAGGACCTAAGAATCTTATGTTTTGGCATTAAGGAATGATTGTTCTGAAATGCTTCAGAGTACACATTATCATCTGTCCCCTTTTCATTAAATTAAACTATTATTTTTCTGCATACAAATATACCAAAATATGTTTAGTAATTACTCAGGACAAACAGGGATGAACAGTTATTTATTAGAACGGCTCATTTATCAGACATTTTAAAAAGAGTGAGACTAATTTTAATGACGGTGGAGAAGTTGTAAAAAGAGGTTTCACACTACATTATAGGCAATTATTTCACACCTTTTATTCATAATGTCTTGCCAGACCTTGGTTTGTTGGCTGTATTTTGATTTTGCAGCTATGAAATTGTTTACATGAAGAATCAATGCAACAACCATCTTAATTGTTCAAACATCAATTCATTAATCTTCCTTTTTATCCCTACAGCGTCTTTCTCGCACTGGTATAATAGTGACCACAAGTGAATCAGTACTATTACAGCTGGTTTCTGATAAAGACCACCCGAAATTCAAAGAGATTCAGAACATCATCAAGGCAAGCGCTCCAGAGTCTGGACTTCTTTCAAAGGTCTAATATGGCATATCACATGGAGAAAGTACACAGATTTCATTGTTTAGTTGTTTAAAAAGAATGAAAAAAGTACCAAAACTATAGGCAACTAGAGGCTTCAACAGCAGGTACAAAACATACTATAGACTAGAGCCTGTCATGTTGTTAGGGAAATCTTTCTGGTTGTGCCAGTGTGTTTTGTGAAATCACATCAGTGTTGTTAAAACAAGCCTCAAGTATTGTTGCGTTTTAATGTGGTAAAATGTAATGTTTTAAAAGAGGTGCCTAACTATTCCACACAGTCCAAAATGATTGTATAACAGCTTTTGAAGGTACTTTTTTGTGATGTCTCAGAGTAGTGCACTTTGTAAACACTGTTATGTAAATCTTTACAGTTTTGTATCAGCTGACTAAAATAAATGTTTGTAAGTACCATATGGTTCAGAATGGGGCTTGTACTTTTTTATACAAACAAATATAAAAAATATTTGTATATACTGGGAGGCCTTCAATCCATATGTCATCCTATTAAAAATAATTGTGTAATAAATCCTGAGCTCACTTTGGTCACCAAACTGAACTGAACATGTTTTGGGAACGGTATGGTGTGGTACAAAATGGTCAGGGTCATTTCTGTATTGGTTACAAGTGTGCAATAGACTTAACACTAGAATGTTATATGATTTTTTTATGATGACTGGAATTACTGCTCATTCTAGACCTTTAAAACTGATGTATTCTACTATTCATCTGCAAGAAGCCATGACTGCCACTTCCAGGCACTTGGGATGATACATTATTTTAGTGTCAACCCAGCAAGCATTTCTCATTTGTTTGGCTGTGCTAAAATCCTATGATAGAATTCCCGTATCAACATAGCAGGATGGAAACATAACATTTGTCTTAAACTCCATTGCAACTGGTTTCAATTGGATAGAGAACAAGCAAGTGCTGTCAATGGGCCCCAAAATAGGCCAGTTAGTGAGAAATCAAGCAGAATACAGGCATTATGGTTTTATGTCATCATTATCAACCTGGATGGCAGCATGGGACAGTACATGGAATTAACCTTGGTTACAAGGTTATGAGAAGGTGTAATTTTTCACTGGTGAATCTATTGGCACAAGGGAGAGTGAATTACAAAGCACTGAGTCATTGAACAAGATCGGTTTGGTTGAGCAATGATAGTGTTGGGTGCAATTCATACAGATTTCCTGTCAGAGGGTTTTATTGTACAGGGCAATCTGAGTTCTCATCGGCATGTGGCTAATATCTTGTAACCAGCCCCCTTTTCACTGTTAGCGCAGCTTGACAAATTTAGTTCATTTTACAACTTGTAAGTACTCGCAAGCAAAGTTACCATTCCTTTGTGAACACAATGTATAAGTGTACAATTGGCTTTGAACTAGTGCTTGATGGCAACATTCTCAGCCACTGAAGAGTTTTTGCAGGCTTTGCAACATCAATAGACAGTTCTTCCAAAAACACCTGAGTAATTCTGTACCTCTTGATGCCTTTCAGATAGGGACAAACAGAAATAGCAAAGGAATGTAACAATAATAAATCACACACAATTTTCATTGTTGATGTAATATTGCATTGTGTGCATGTAAGTAGATTAGAATGACTGTACTCATCAAGCATCTTATTTGTTAAAGGACAACATGCACCTATTTGAACTGACCCACAGCTGACAGCCTTTGTTTTAGTGTAAAGACCTGGTCATACAGATACTGTACATTCTCTGTATCCACTGAATTAGCCAGAATTACCAGGCAGCGTTTGCCAACTATGATGAACACAGCTCTTAAGCAAACAGCAGGCCACTGATAATTGTAGCTGTAATACAACTTCATTATACTTTGTATTCATGAACTGGAACACTCTTTGTCTGCAGCAGTATCCAGCTATGTTGTCTGAAATGCCGAAATTTATAATTGCACCCTCCTTTATTTAGTCACAGACTATTTTTGTATCAATATAATATATTAGATGTTCAGAATGCTGTTGATAAAATACCATATGAAGGAATCCAAGTGAATGTGTGCACATGGATAAAGAACTCTTAAAAGAACAGAAAACACATGGGACTGATAATGAGTGTTACCTTGGACTAAAGTGAGACTATACAGTATGTGGGGTACTATATGGATCACTGCTTTGCCTAATCTCCATCAATTATCTGGAGACCACAGCATAGTGAATAAACTTATCACATTCACAGATTATACCAAAATAGGTATAATGGCACTACAAGTAATAAAAAAGGATTAAATTCAGGCCATGAAGGTATTGAATGCAAGAAACAAGAATGTGAATTTCAAACTTGGGTTTGAAAATGGCTGGAATTGAACTGGCAGAAGTAATAGAAAAGATCCAAGAGCTTGCTGATATCACTTTGACTAGACAGATTTGAGGAAGCAATAAAAAAGGCCAATTAAATGTTTATATATTGTTAAGCATATCAAATTTAAATTAAAAGGAAGTGTAGATATTGTCATCTAATATGAAATACAATCATGTAAATATTGGACACTCATTGGAGTCACTGCGTTATATGAAAATGTTGCCTTTACTATACTGTATATAACTTTGATACTAAAGCTTGTGACCAGTAACAATTAAAATTTTAGCACGCTATGACATTTTTAAACCTTTTTCAGTCAGGTTTTAGACACAGACATTGTACCAAATAAGCCCTTGTTAAGGTACAGTAGTTAATGATTTGCACAAGGTTTCTGACTGTGTAGGGACATAAATATCCTTCTTCGGCTGGTTATACAGTAAGTACAGAGTTTGAGGCTCTCAAGACATCTAATGATCCAACTGGCTCACATGGAAAATGTCTAGGTATCACTGGTCCTACCTTTTGTTGATATGGCTCATTTTGGGTTACCATGAACTGATTCATGAATCTGATGCCATCCCACATACTCAGGGTGTACTGTACATGTGTGATCAAATCAAATACTTAGTTAAACTATGATAAAACTGAGGTTATAGAAATTGGTGTTACATTTGACTCTGTACTATCATTTGAAGCACGTTACTAACATCTAACTAACGTTATTAAAGGAAAGAAGACTAATACTACATTTATCTTAAACTCAAATGTACAAAACATTTGAAAGGAAAACCTGCTGTAACTACCCCTAAAATTATATGTTATCCCTTCTTAAATGTTACTATAACATGAATGGAAGCCTAAATTTATCAGGAACTCTTAACCATTGATGTAGCAATACCACAGTTCAAACTCTGTTGCCAAAGGAATTTCAGACTTTAGTGTCACAAGATAGTAAAATCCAAAATGGAAGACAACTGAGAAACAGAATCATAATTTTGTAGAAGTAAGAAAGCCAAGGTCAAGGATAATTGTTGTGCTGTGTAAATGTTTAAAGCATTGATGTTATCTGTGATGGACTATATTTGCAGGTCTCGTAAAGAAAGACCTGCAGAATATTGCATTACTTTAGAAACTAAATGTGCTGATGTCAAGTGATTCTATAAATGATACAGCATACATTCCCTTATTGCACTTTTAATCTCCAAATGCCTTCACTAAAAGGCTCACACATGGATGGTAGGAAATGCAAGTTGTAATAGGTGCTTTTTGTACACAGAAAAGTCACACAGGTTCACTGGATTTAATGGCCTCCTCACATTTGTAACAATTCTTATTTTCTCATGCACATGGCTGACTCTGGGAAGATTACAATTCCCAGCAACTCTTTTATGAGCAGTCAGCTGAACTGTGACCATCACAAGACTCGACCTGGCCCCTATGAATACAGGAAGCTGGAAGAGTCTACTGTTTATGGAATTTATTGAGACTTTGAAAGTGAAGGACCCAGAGATTGTGGGAACTCATCCTGTAAACAGCAATAATTATTGAGATACCTTTTAGACAACTAACACAGAGAGTAGAGACTTACTTGTCTGGACAAACCTTTCCAGAAAGCTTTGGCTGTTTGTGACATCAAAGAAAGAACATTTTTCAAAATAAAGAGATCTCTTTAATTCACCTTAGCTGCTACCTATGGCTGACTTCTCAGTTTCACTCTACCAGGAGTCCTACAGCATGTATTCCATCACCCACCTGTGATAAATATACATAAACATTTTGTACAGCAGCACATATTACACACAAGATTACTGTATCAACACAATTCACCATGGTTAACTTGAATCAAGATTTGCTTTCTAAATCGTTTCAGTGTAAAATAAGATCACTTTTAATGTATTACTAAGAATTTGTATTGAGTTAAAAGAGAATGGGAGGATCAGTTTTCTCTGTGAAATTTGGATAAATTAATTCCACATTGCATTGGAATTTTGTTGCTTAGAAATAAACACAACACAATGCAACACATTTATTCAGTGCCTTTAATGTCAAATGCTCTAGAATGCATGAAATTACAAGAATGGCAACACTAGATCAGTTTATTTCTAGAATTTCTAGGTAACTGTCTCGTATTTTCCTGAAAACTTGGGACTATATTGAACTCCTGATTGTTCAGATGAGTGCTCATAGGTCTGCTGGATTGACCCATTGTACTGATACACAGGAAACTTTCTGGATAACTTAAAGAAAGTCTGCATCACTGTGAAAACGTTCTTACTGATAATGTGGAATTTATTCTGCAAAAATATCTTCCCTTATGCAAGTGGCTTTGCCAATATCCTCTTGCTTTCTCCCTTTTCTTACATTTCAGTTCCATAGATACAGACATCATCCTACAACTTAATCCAAAAGGATTACAGCATTCTTTGTTGAGAACCCAATTATCTCCCACCTCTTAACCCACCTCTACTATAAGGTTGATGTACTCAGAAGCCCCGTGTTCTTAAAGTCAAGGTGCTGCTTAAGGCACACAAAGGGGTTTGTGAAGGGTTGCAAAGTAATGAAGATTGGAAAGGAAGGATTAGTGACCCTACAGGAGCAGAAAGTTAGAGCAGAGCCATGAGTTGGGGGTGTCTTCAACTTCTGAACTTTTGTCTCTAAACTCCGTCTATTTTCATTCTCCATTAAGATTAAAGTTTACACACGGCGCTCCTCTGTAGGAGCAACTTTTGCAAGGAGCCTTAAATGTCCTATTACAAATGTCACCATCTCCTGCCTTCACTTTATGATTTTGCAGAGTTACTGTACCTACCAGGACAAAATGTGCCATTTGCACACAGAGCATTTACAGTACATAAAAAATAATAATCGAAGTGAATGATCATCTTGTTTCAGATACAGCTCAAGTTCCTTTAAAATGATCTATTTTCTTCCCCTTTTCTACAGACTTTTAGGGCTTCACATCTCATTTGTATCCAGTCTTCCATCCCTATGTAAATGATTACATTGGTGATATAGTATATACAGTACTCAGTTGTCATACTGTACTTTACTATAAGCATATAAACTGCAGAAAACATTTTCCTAATTATTTG